GCGGGATTCGAACCCACGACCTTCGGCTTGATACGCCGCTTCTCTACCACTTGAGCTATCGTGACTTCGACCCACTCTGACATTAACTTCCCATCTCAACCCCACCTTGTGAATTTTCCCTTCTTTTTGCTATTTTTCAAATGTTATGTAATCTATTTGATTCTGGGCGACAAATGAAATGGCCACGTAGAACTTTAGTGAAGGTATACTTCATTTAAACTTATTAAATTCACTAGTTTCGTGGTCCGCTTGACTAATTTATATATTTCAATTAACTAAGGTTTTTAGATGAGATAAAAAAGTCAGGGTCACGAGCGGGATTCGAACCCACGACCTTCGGCTTGATACGCCGCTTCTCTACCACTTGAGCTATCGTGACTTCGATTAACCATTAATGCTTACGAATTTTAAATTCTTAAGTTCAAGTGAGATGAGTTGTAACCTCACAACCGTGTAGATTGTGTAGAGAAGGGAACGAGTTCGAACGCTCCTGTGGAACGAGCGAGAATCGGGTAAATGGAGGAAAAAGAAGCGTTTTTGACAGTTTGAAAGTGGCGTCTGAAAGGTATGATTTTATTATCATCAGGAACATGGTTGGATGCACTTGAGCTTCTACAGAAATTCCAGGTGCCATACCCTACAAAGACACCAGGGCAATGGTGTCTACAACGTGATGAGCTAAAACGATAGTCGAGTGGCAACTCTGAAAGGTGAATTGGTGTTTAGGAGTAATATAGGTTGGAATTGCGTTATAAAGGTATTATAAAGTAACAGTATTTTTAGAGAATCTTCCCGATTATAGGTAAAGGACTGATTGGTCTGTGAACTACGAAGGCGAGTTGCGTTTTTTGGTTTACGAATAACCTTTATTGAAGAGAATTTCCCTATGGTGTGGAAGTAGTTATTGCGAATTACAGCATTGAAGGGAGATGAGAAAATTATTGCTTTTTAGGGAGTTGGGATAATATTTTTGGAGTAATTAGATCGTAACTAGGACTTTATGTTTTCCGTAATAATGAATAATAAGGAAATGTAATATTGATCTTTGAAACAGTTCACATTTTCCCTTACGTGCCCCTTTAGGTGTAGCAAATTAATACCTGTCTCTAAATAATAACTCACACAGGTGATATGCTATTTTTATGTTTTCAATATTGGCCGTAATATAAAATGATGTAGGTGTCAAATGAGCATGGATTTCTTCCCATGGGTTTCGTAAAACAAAATAAAATAAAAACAGGCAGCATTAACGTTTTATGCAGATTTACGAGAACTACTGCCGGATGTGTAACTAGAAAAAAACTGAATCTCTGCAGGAGGACTGGTAGCAAATCGTTTTAACCATATTTAGATATACATACTACAGTTTTTTGAATGCATTATGTCTTGGGAAACAAAGTTTTATAATCAAATCGGATCAAATGTAATAAATCACCTTAAGGGATTGGACTCCGAAATTGTGTAGATAACGCCCAACGCTGATCACAGTTTAATACTAATTGGCTATTCAACGAATTCCAGGGGCAGTTAACGATTTCTCATTACAGCCAGGTTGATACCTCCATTTTTGCTACAGTCGGCTCATCCACCGTCCGTGGCAAAACACCAACCGCAGCCGAACATTTATTTTAATTGTTGAAACCGCCGAATCGAGTCGAGTCAGGCCGGAGATTGCGTTTAGGGTGGTTCTTTAGGCGTCGGAGATGGAGTGAGCGAAGACCTTGTCAACTGCAATATCCGGCGTGGAACGTCACCATCACCATCAAAAGCATCATCGTCAGCCACTCGTTATCACTTCCTACTTCTAATCTCTGTTGTTTACTCTTAAGTTTTCAAAACGGTATGCTGTCGAGCGACCATTGCTTTATCTTGCCATCTATTCATCAATGAACAACGTTAAAACTATTTTGATGGACTTGGTTGCAGAAATTCTTTATTTTAGCTTGTATGGCACTGTGGATTTTAATCAAAATAATGAAATGTATGAAAACGTTAACACAGTGTTCACCCTTAGATAATTTCATACCTGGGAGACATGGTAATTTTTTTGTATAATATATGTTTAGGTTTAACTATTACTCCTAGTAACCGATGCATTATCAATAAAATGGATTACCAAATGCTCTGTGCAAATTCAATTCCTTTTTCCATCCTAAATTTGTCGAAATGAAGAAATTGTTTTTTTAGAAGAAATAAAGGTGGCTGGGTAGGCTAAATTGACAAGTAATAAACAAATTACAAATAAATAAAACGTTTATTCAATCCCTATCTATCCTGTCTCTACTTAATTGTGTGATAATTCTCTCTCCATCTCTCTCTGTCTCTCTCACTTCTTCATTCTATCCACCTGTGTGTATATGTGCTTGTTAATTTCTTTTTTAATCCTTTCTCTCTCTCCCTCTTTATTATCATTTTTGGTAATCAAAGACTATTATCTAGGGTTAAGTATGACTTATTGCCCGAAGTAAGAGCTAATAATGAACAAATTCCTTAGGCCAAAATTTATCATGGGCTTGCCAAGTAAAGAAGATTTGTAATATTATCTATTCTAAAATGTATAGGCTAAAAAAATTATTTTACTATTACTCTAAAAAAATATAAAAATATATTGTAAAAGTATTTATTTTTCCTTACTTAAAGAATGGCTAACATGTAATGTCGAACCTGAATTATAAAAACATTAAAAATCTCCAAGTCACACAAAATATGTGTTTAAAATTTGATCGTGTGTACAAAAAGTATAAGAAAATATCTGTACTAAAAGTGAAAGAGATGCAAGAATTCAAAATATTAAGCATGTTATCTAGTATTTTCAGATTAAAGGTACCTGAAAGTTTGTATAATAAATATATGTTTTTCAGAAATGAAAGCAGGCACTCTGATTCAAAAATAATTATTCCTTTATGTATAACAAAGATGTATTATAACTCATTTTATCTCAAATCCATAAGTATTTTTTTCAATTAAATTTCAATTAAACGAAAATATATTTTTATCAAGCCACAGAAAATTTAGAAATAAATATAGACTAAGAATGTTAGACAAATACTAATAAGGGTACGTTTTTCTAAAAATACAAATAGTTGTTCATTGATAATTTAGTTTATTAATTTAAGAAGTCCAATCGTTTGAGATAATCCATAAGATGGATTTTGATGTATTATTGTGAGATAAAATGTGTATATGTGAATTTGTGAAAGAAATGTATTATATAGCTATAGAAAGTTAAACAAAAAAATTATAAAAATAAAAATAACTTAAGTCTCAACTTAATGTCTGTGCGTGGCAAATAATAATTTCTACTATACATGTGTTACCTCGTTAAATGTAAGAGTGGTTTATGTAAACCAAATTTTGCGAGGATAAATAAATCATAATCAATCAATCAATCCCTTCCTCTATCTTTCTTTCTCTTTTATCCCCCTCTCTCTTCCCTCTCTGTCTCTGTATTTCTCTTTCTCTCTCTATAATATTGTTTCGTCCTTTTCCTTTGTCTATTTGTTATTTTCCTCCTTTCTTTCTCACAGATGTACTATCTTCCTCTATCTTTCTTTCTCTTTTATCCCCTCTCTCTTCCCTCTATATCTATGTCTTTCTCTTTCTCTCTCTATAATATTGTTTCGTCCTTTTCCTTTGTCTATTTCTTATTTTCCTCCTTTCTTCCTCAAAGATGTACTACCTTCCTCTATCTTTCTTTCTCTTTTATACCCTCTCTCTTCCCTCTCTGTCTATGTCTTTCTCTTTCTCTCTCTATAACATTGTTTCGTCCTTTTCCTTTCTCTATTTCTTATTTTCCTCCTTTTTTTTCTCACAGATGTACTACTTTCATCTTTTTCTCATTCGTTCCTTCATCCCCTCTCTCGCTTTTTTCTCTTACTCTTTCTTTTGCGCTTTCTGTCTATCAGTCATTCTCTCCCTTTCTGTTTCTCTCTTCCTCTCTCTTTCCTCTCTCCCTCTGTCTGTATGTCTGTCTGTCTGTCTGTCTCTCTCTCTCTCTCTCTCTCTCTCTCTCTCTCTCTCTCTCTCTCTCTCTCTCTCTCTCTCTCTCTCTCTCTCTGTCAAATTATGTTTCGTACTTCCCTTTCTTTACTTTTTCTTTTCCTACTTTCATTCTCACAAATATACTAATTTCCACTTTTGGTCATGTCTTCCTTCATTTCCTTCTCTCTTTTTCTCTAAATCTCTCTTTACCCTCAATCTCCCTATCATTTTCTCTCTCTCTCTCTCTCTCTCTCTCTCCCTCTCTCTTTTAATCAGTTCCCAGGACTAATAAAGTCTTTCTTTCACCCTTTCTCTCACTTATTCAATCTTACTTATCTGTTTTTTTTCGTTTAAACAGTTTTGTCCCTATTATTTATACATTTCATGACAATTGGAGTTGGCTTTTTTAAAATTTTTTTTTAAAGTGTCGTAAAAATTTATAATTGTTCATGTTTACGCCAAAATCTTTCCAAAATTGAACATAAAAGCATGTTATTAGGTATAATATTTTAATTGTAATAATATTTTAAAAAATGACACATTTTCTACTAATGTCTTTGTCTTCTTAATGTCAGCACACTAGTTTTCACAATTCTTTGAAGAGCTGATCCTGATTCAGGTTTACCCGTTGAAATCATTGAATGGTAATCCAGCATATATACGGCCTCATATCTGGTTGTATTAGACATTGTCCTCTTCATGTTTTATGTATAAAAAGGAAGAGGATTCCCCCGGGGCGTGATATGTCGGGATTCAATTTCAAACGCCGATGTCACCACCAATACACTCTATTGTGTTTCTATTTCCTTTCATTTTCATCTTTCTCCTCTGTCCTCCGAGTTATTCCAAGACGGATGTCGGCGTTCCATTTCAGCTGGAATCTGTGGGAAATGGGATATAAATGGTCGTAGCAATTTTCAGATAGACCGCACTCGGAAAATTACCATTCCAAATCGTCCATTTCCCCCTTCCGGTGATGAACGAACGTTTAACGTTTTATAATCATTCCGTTCTTTTTTACCCGTCTGAAACGACAATGAAGACAGCGGTTTACTTTATTTTCCTCTTTTTCATTTTGAACGTCGAAAATGCAAAACAGTAAATAAAATTGGCACGCAACACTAGGAAAACATCGGTACAAAAATGGTCTTTTCTGATTCCAGCCAGACGAAGAAAATCTTCAGGATTGTTAAGTTTGAAGAATGCCCTGGAAAACGCTACAAGGAAAAATGCATCAAACTCTGGAATTTCACAAACCAAATTGTCAGTGTTGATAAACAAATAGCAGGTTCAACTATTGAATTGAAAAACGTCCCTGCAAAGCCTCAGGTATGTGACTGATATGGATGACAATTATGTGGAAAAAATATTTATATTTTAATTTAATGTTGTACTTATGTTTAATTGTGTTTGAGAAGAGTTTAATAGTCAGACATCAAACAACTAAAACAAAAACATATATGGCAGAAAGTCAGTATCACAATATACCGGCGTTTGATTTGTTTGTCACCTTGTCTTTATCTGGCCATAGTGTGGTCATTTCTTTTGCCGATATTAATGCTGATAGCATGAAAGAACCAGTTGAAATTGAGAAAGGCTGCTAACCCTGCTTTCCGGTTAATTGAAAATTCAGACAACTGGTTTACATTTAACAAAATAAGTGCCCAACAGATCACTTCTCTAATAAATTTGTGAAGTAAATGAGCGGATAACATTGATTATTTGCTTCTATCAATGAGAAAATCAATAAAAAATTGCATGCAATTTAAAAAAAATGCGTAGATACATTGAATTTTATGATCACTTGTTTTTCAAAATTATTATTGTTTTGTTTTTTCTTAGGTAGTAACAACAGCTCTAAAATGTGAATCAAGTGAATATGAGTCCTGCGTGGAAATTTGGAGTTTTAAGTTCGACGTTTGCTCCAAACTGCAAGAGTCGTTCTTCTACACAAATACAGCTCAGCTTTTCAAACCCGATCTTAAATGCCCGATAAAAGACGTTAGTATCTCTCATTTTAAAACTACTTGAATAGACACAGAATAAAAACAAAACTTAACGCGTTTCAGGGTATATACAAGTCCGTGAATTACACAGCGACGCCCGACGACCTCTACAAATTTCTTAGGAATGCTGGATTTACGTCTATCACGGATTACTACATCGGGCTCAGATTCTTGTTCCTCAATGAAAAGAGAATCCATATCGGGTGCATGGACGGTATAGGAAAGTTCTACGACATAAAATCAAAAGAAATACAAAAAACTACACGAACATAGCTCAATAAACACTATGGTGATTAAGATTATGGGTTAAAATGTGGTGTTTGGTATTAAGTTTATACACTATTCCTTTAATAACAGAAATTAAACCAATAAATGTAAGAGAAAAAAATGAAAATTGTTTTTCCAGGTAATAAAATATCGACCTATAAGTAACTTCTTGGTCGACATACTGTCTAAATTTAGAATTAATTATACTCTTTCCTAGACAGTTAATAGGAGAAAAACAATTATGTATCTATTTTCATAAAGAGTGAGGCAAGAGATCTCGAACAGTAAGGACGTGTTTATCACAGCTCATCTAAACAACTTATTTCAAGAGTTATTTGAGTCGGATTCGCCCAAAAACGAGGACACAGTGAGTCGTGTTCCTCGTGCAAATCATCGTCAAGTTTCGAGAAATTTCTGCAAGGAACTTGACAATAACGAGTGAGTGAATTTTACTAAATTAATAGGAAAGCGGACGGACAGGAAAGCAGCCTGTCCAGCNCCCTCGGAAAAATGGGAGAGCAGCGATGGCTGCACTCTCCCCTCAAGACAAAATGAACTGTGCTGTGTATATAAGTCACAAAATTACAAAATGTATAAACATATACAGATGGTAATAAAAAAAAAAAAAAAATTTTCATAAAACTACATTGTTTTCTGCACGGAATGAGATTAGTTACATGATATTCCGAGCTTTAGAAGTAATTTAAATAATTTTTTGAAATTCACTAATTTCGTGGTCCGCTTGACCAATTAATACTTTACAATTAATTAAGGTTTTTAGTTGAGATGAAAAAAAAAATGGCAAAAGGAGGGAAAACTCATAAGGTGGGGTTGAGATGGGGAGCTGATGTCCGAACGGATCGAGGTCACGATAGCTCAGGTGGTAGAGCAGCGGCGTATCTAGCCGAAGGTCGTGGGTTCGAATCCTCTCGTGCCATTAACCTTTTTTTCATCTCAACTAAAAACCTTAATTAATTGTAAATTTTTTGAAAATTGCGAATCAAGTGTTCTGGTATATTTTGTCCAAATAAACTTCTTACTCCCCATTTCAACATATTTTCGCTTTAGAAACCTACCTACATCTTCTATCATTCTTATATAACTTCCTGCTTGAAGATGAATTGACGTATAGTCATAAAAAGTTATTAAATAAACAGGTTTTATGGTATACATTGGTCAGCAATTGAAACAAATCGAGCTCAATCATAAAATCAGAAAATCATTGCTGAAAAGTTTTTCACCTTTCAGTACAAATTCATCATCATATTGAAACAATTTTTTTTCATTTTGTAGATGAAGATAGGAGATGGGGAAATGGACAGTATGTTCTCCAAACACTGCTCCTCTTTCTCGTTATTGTACTTTCTTAGTTTGGTCTGCTTCGTTCCTTCTTTTTAGGGGTCTAGACTATTGACTGCCGTTGCTACCGTTTTCCTTGGATTTTCTCGGTATCCCCGGTTATGGATCCATTGAGCGAGTGGTTGTTTCACATTTGAAGATGATATGGGTGGCAGTTTCTTCCTCTTCATAGTGTAACCTACAAATGTAGTCTTCATTGTATATACCCAAGTTGTGTAGATGCTTACTCAGATGATAGAGGCCGGTATATAGTCCTATCAATCCTACGAGTTTTGCCCTCATCAACTGTAGTAATAAGTTGGCCAGTCTTGTGGTTTTAGCATAAGTTTACAGTGTGCCGCTAGAGTTTATCCGCTTCTCCTTTTGTTTTATTTTGAATTCATTCTGTGATGGAGGATTCAATGTTATGCAAAGAATAGATTACATTCTCTGGCCAGAGTGTCTGCTTTTCCGTTACCCAAAATTTGCTAGTTCCTTTACCCAATCAGGCTGTTGTGTTTTCCCACGTTTTTGAGATTTTGGATGCAAGCCCTCTAATTTTGTTGTGATTTTTTGCATGCTTTAATAGCTGCTTGGCGATATGATCTAGGAGAACTTTTTGCCAGAGCGATTTCTTTTACGATTTTCCATGCTGTTGCTTTGTCAAACATTTTGGTTTAAAAAAACATTCAACAAACTACGATTCATAAAACCCTTAGCTAGTAATAGTCGGGAAGGTATTTCTGACAAACAGTTCAAATAGATTGTCTTTTATAGATAAAATAATGTATACAAATTTAAGCAACCTTTTTTACTTATTTCTAATGTAAAATTTATGTAAGTGTAAGAAATTAATTATGTAATTTGAGAATTTTTGTTTGACTTTAACAAGTCTAGGTAAGATCGGTTTTAAACGATCCAAGCTGTAAGTGATCCGTGCTGACCATTTGAAGTGTGTCTTTGGTTTAAACCCTTAAATGGTGAAAAAGCGGCCCTTTGAGCCGTTTCATTGCATTTCACCCTCTCGAGACCAGGATTTTTCCTCCGGGGTCAAAGGGCTTGTTCTTTGTGCACAGGGTTTCGATTACTTCCGTCCACTTGACTTCGGCCGATGTCTCCTTCCAGCAAAGCCTCAGTGTCAGGCGGTTAGCATAAGAAAGCAGATTGAAGGAGTATATAAAAACGTTTAAAAATATAAGACGGAAAATCCACTTGGTATTGTGCCAAATTGTAACTTATCAAGCAAAAAAGCACCGAATGGGGGCTGAAATATAATGAACTACAGTTGGCTTTATTTTAATTTCATGTAAAATTTTGAAGAATAAATAAATACAGGGTAATATAACTAATGGAACAAGTAAAAATACGTACATTTCTTTAGCTTCTACGAGTATTCAGAGGATTATTTTCCTCTTGTCTATCAATTAAACATACAGCGTATTCCGACGTCCTGCTGAGGACGACGGATTGTCGGGTCAAGTGATTCACCCCCGATACTTTGGGGTGTAAGCGACGCCGGCATTTGCAAGTATAACATCAACCCGCTTACCGAATACTGTATGAGCAGTTCCTTCTCGCGAGGGGTTGTTTCAGTTATCCCAAGACCACCTTGGCCTCCCTTTTGTTGGCCACATGGGCAGCAACATATCCATTTGAATTCTTATTAGCGGCCGCCTCCTGCTGTTTAACGTGTTAGATTTTGAGTTACCACATTACCGTAAAACTTTTGAAACGAATTATTCTTACGCTCATTTTACTGCTGTAGGATTTTTATATATGAGAACGTAAAATTGGATAACATGACATTATTTGATATTAATCACTTTATTGTCGTTATTCTAAAACTTAGAAACCTCCCAATCTTATATCCTCTTACAGATACATCAGTCTTCTTCCTTCAAAGTCCAAAATCTTTGAAGACTCCATTTAAAGCGCTTAATTGATATTCATAAAACCATACTTCCTCATCAGTTTGGTTTCCGTCATCAATATTCCACGATCCAACAAAGTTTCAGAATTCAGAATTATGTTATGTCCTTGGCTCTAGAGAACAAAGAGTATTGCTTGGGTGCGATCCTAGATGTACAACAGGATTTTGATAGAAATGATAAATGATGGAGTGAGTGTGGTGTTCAATCCTTTTTATAAAGATAGTTCCTACTCACAGTAAGTTGTTTTGCAACGATCCGGATTTCGAGCCTTTTAGCTCATCATCAGGTTGAAGGACTTCTACAACCACGTCTCTCGACATGAATTGCAAAAGTGAACCCGCTGATACCTCCGCCAACGCGACGTTTGATTTTTTTAATGGTGCTCAATTTGAAAGTGCGAAACGCGGAAATTATAACACAAATAAATATTATACTAGTAAATACTTAAGATTATTAAATTACAGTAATGATAATAACAATTAAAATAATTAGTTTAATTATTTGGATGTTTGATATTATTTATGTACACATTTAAAATGGGAGATAGATCAAAATCTGTTGTATTATTAATGGATTTATCACCATGTTCAATTTTACATTTTTTAATTTAAAATTTCTCAAACCAATCTAGTTCTTTCCCTTTGTTGAATCTATGTAACACTCTTGTATTTAGATTTGAATTGAAATTATGTTTTGTATCCTTTAGATGGTCCTTAAATTCCGAAAATTTGCTCGATTTAGGCAAGTGTTCTTTTACTCTTGTTTTTATTTCTCTACCGCTTTGTCCTATATATTTTTGGATTTTGTTGGGGGCCTGCCACCTGGGCATAATTTATAAATTTAAACGCTTACTCCTTAGTGCCTCCTTAACTTATCCTGAAATCCTCACTAACCGACCGCTATTTCAGAGTGAGGTGCGGCAACGAATTATTGAAAGTCAGACAAGCCGTCGACCCACAAGGGAGCGTACTTGGTCCCATCCTTTATATCATCTGTACAACTGACCTACATGCACAGCCCAATACCATCATCGCTACGCACGTGGACGTTACCGCAATTGTGTCCTCTAACTCGAATCCAATCCAAGGTATCTCCAACATCTAAGAACACGTTGAGCTTATCGAAGACTGGTGCAAAACTGGAAGACAAGGATGAATGAAGAAAAATGTTTTCGGTGTATGTCACATTGAAAAAAACCAGTCTTGCCCTATCGACAACAAAGGGATACGGATTAATTTTATGCAAGACTTTAATGCGACCCCTTGGGACAAACAGAGTGGAAATGAGTACTGCCAAGCCATCCAACATCCAGCGCATCCAATCCTTCCAAACAAAAGTTCTCAAACAAATTGTCAAAGCTCCTTACTACGTTACTAACCTCACTGTTAACAACGTTGTCAACATTGCTTTTATCAACGTTCTCGATTCCAAAACGTTTACATCAGCCTCTCGAACTGTCCTACCCTTACTACTCTGCCCCCTCTACACATTACCACCTCGATAACCCATCACGTTACCTTAATAGACGATGGCCCCGAGTCCTCCAAAGCTTTGTAATCCTTCCTTGCTGTATGAAAAATACATACCTATATCTACATATAGGATACAAATAAAATAATTTAAAAAATATCTTTATTGGTCAGATTTCAGAGGGTATCTGGACTTCAAATTAACTTAATATTTTTCAACACTCACCTGAACTGTGTGCAAGGTAAAGAAGGAATGTACAATATGGAGCTCGACATAGTTGCTGTTACTCAACCAGATGAGCTCCATTCGACTCTTGAGCGAGAACTCAACCATTTGTCGACCAACCGCAAGGTCATAGTCGGTGCTCATTTATGTTCCTTTACTCTTCTGCATAATTTTCCTGGGCATGTTTTATCCTATGCGTTGAGCTGTTGCTTCGCATTTGAAGATTATATGGGTGGCTGTTTCCTCCTCCTCATTACATAAAGTTGTATGAGTTTGTTTTTTCGTGGAAAATCGCATGGTTTAATTTTGAAGACCTATCAACTACTACAGTTCCTCACACTCTTTACACATGAATATCATCATAATAATGAAATTAATTGATAGGTCATTAAAGTTAAGCCATCAGAGAATCCACGAAAAAAAACCTCAAGATTTAAAAGATATCCAAGATCTAATGGATATCCAAAATCTTTGTATAAAAAATACTAAATAGAAGGTTGAATGATAGTGTTCCCATGCATATAACCAATAATGTAAAATACCTAATAATATAAAATGTGTCCCATTAACATATGTAAAAGAAATTTCAACTAAAATAAATTGCTAAAAAGAAAAATAGAAAATGTCAAAGTTGTTTACTAATTTGAAAACAAAATAGGGAAATTTTTTTTTCAAAATTAAAAGATAAAGAAGAAAAAGGAACAATATCCAACGTTGTTTATTGTGTTGATTGTAACGACTGTCCTACCGTGTACTAGGGAGAGCTTGGAACTGGGTGGAGTAGTAATGATTCCGGTCATACCGAAGAGTTTTTAGTCCAACAACTGTCCATCGGGTGCAGTTGACCAGAGTACAAACTAATTTTAAATTACTGGCTTTTTTATCTCAACTAAAAACCTTAATTAATTGTAATATATTAATTGGTCAAGCGGACCACGAAATTAGTGAATTTAATGGATTTAAATGAAGTATACTTCACTAAAGCTCTCCGTGGCCATTTCATTTGTCGCCGAGAATCCAATCCGATTACACATTTGAAAAATGGCAAAAAGGAGGGAAAATTCAAAAGGTGGGGTTGAGATGGGAAGTTAGTACCCGAGTGGATCGAAGTCACGATAGCTCAAGGTAGAGCAGAGGCGTATTGAGCCGAATATCGTGGGTTCAAATCCCGCTCGTGACACTGTCTTTTTTATCTCAACTAAAAACGTTAATTAATTATAAGGAATAAGGTTGAATTTATCGAAGGTGTTTGTGGACCTTACCCGGTTAACCTTACATCCTTACCCTTCTCAAGACACTACATGGGTTAAACAGTGGCAATAAAAACTGATTTTTTAATGATGCTCAATTTGAAAGTGCGAAACGCGGAAATTATAACACAAATAAATGTTATACTAGTAAATACTTAAGATTATTAAATTACTGTAATGATAATAACAATTAAAATAATAAGTTTAATTATTTGGATGTTTGATATTATTTATGTACACATTTAAAATGGGAGGTAGATCAAAATCTGTTATATTATTAATGCATTTATCACCATGTTCAATTTTACATTTTTTAATTTAAAATTTCTCAAACCAATCTAGTTCTTTTCCTTTGTTGAAACTATGTAACACTCTTGTGTGAATAAGGTTGAATTTATCGAATGTTTGTGGTCCTTACCCGGTTAACCTTACATCCTTTCCCTTCTCAAGACACTACATGGGTTAAACAGTGGCAATAAAAACTAACTTCAATAGCTATTAAATAAATGAAACCCTAAGGCACTTTGGTAATGACGATAGCGAGTCGGAAATTGATGATATCATAAATTCGAACAAAGAGGAATAACGAAGCGATATATTAGCAAAATAAACAGCGACAAGTGAACACATAGCTATATTAATAAAGTACCAAAAAACTGTAAGCAAATAACAAAAGCGAGAAAATACAAGTCGAGCAGTTGGGCAGTGTTAATGGGAAATAGAACAAGACCAGTAACATATAAATTGACGGTTGCGTTAACGCTATCATAAATTAATTAAGGTTTTTAGTTGAGATAAAAACTCAGTGTCACGAGCGGGATTCGAACCCACGACCTTTTTCCTTTTTATCTCAACTAAAAACCTTAATTACTTGAATGATATTAATTTGTCAAGCGGACCACGAAAACTAACTAAATATATACTCGAAAGCTTGGCCATAAAACAAAACCTTGAATATAAAACAATACTCTCAAGCTAATAAAAAGTAAAACTTGCTAACGACTCAATTGAAAAATATAACATTTTTAAAGAACCATATTTTTTTAACGTCCCGCAAAAACCCTTTTAAACCAAGCGTATTAAGTGTATAATTTCCCTGTTATCTCTCTAAGCAAAAAGAGCGAGAAATAATGTTTTTTTACGCAGTTCCTTCTCCCTGGGTTTACATGATAATTCCTGCTAAAAAAACTGTGTATTTGACAACACAATCCGCACAATAATCCGCGCTTTATGTCTTAAAACCAAATTAAAACATGCTCGGCAATTTTGATAATAAAACAAGTTATTTTATTTGAACTTCGAAAAAGAATCATAAAATAGGCATTTCAGACAATGTTGGTAATTTTCAGCGAGTCAGTCTATCATCACTCGTTGAATTAGCTGGTTGATAAACTACATCGCCCCTATATTCATTTTGAAATGTATTTGAATAATTTTACAAGTCTTCTAGATGTGAATAAATCTATTTTCTCTTCTTAATCGATCAGATTAATGCTGAAGCACAAATTGTATAAATTAAACATTTGTTAATCTTCGTCGGATCGCTTCTTTTAGGCCTACATGTACGGAGCAGTCCCGACCCCTAATCCAGAGTAAGGTTCAAAACCTCCGTATTTGCGGAATGGGTGCAAAACGCAAATACTCCCTGAGTTATGGAGCATTAGCGATAATTTACAACCGGCCCTTAATGCGGAATAGTAAATAAGGAATTAATTCAACGGCCTGCATAGCTAGTAATTCCGCAAAAGCAATTTGCAAGATAGTAGTAGAAATTAACTCGGACAAAAAGAGGAATAAAAATCATAATAAGCGGGTTTTCGATGTGGATGGGGAGTGAAAAGGGTGGCTTCCAGAAGATAACGCTCATTAGCAACGCTTTTCTCTTACGTTGTTGTTATCTTTCAGTAAAGTTTATTTTAAATCGTTTTGCCCAAGTAAAACAGGATAATATTTCATTATTATAAAACCTCAAGTATAAAACAACAGTTTAAAAATACTAATGTCAAAAGTAACAATCAAAAATGCATCACGATGCTTTACCTTGTTTTTGACTAACCTAGTCATTGCATATTTGTTTCACATGGCTATGAAATGTTTTAGTGATGTTGACAGACGTGCAAAGGACAATGTCCCTGACTAAAGCACTAATAAGATTTCACAACCCTTCGCCAATGGGTGGAGGAAGAGAGTAATTATATCCTTCATGGAGCGGTACTTCGATAATGTGAGAATAACCTGTAGTTCCTGGAGGTGGCGCTCACTCACTGCAATTGTTGCTGTTTTGGTTGATGAACTACCCACACTGCTATCAGGCAAGTCATGGAATATGCACAAGTCCTAGCAATAATGGGCATTTCTCAGTGGTTAGATAACGGGTGTTATACGCACTCAATTTAACAAGTTGGTGAAAATGATTATCATTAAGCCACCATAAAACTATCATGATTCTTATACCAAGAAGAGGACATAAGCCACTTGTACTGAACGGAGCGATAATTCTCTTCTCCTTTTAGGAAATGAAATATCTAGACCAAAGATTTTCTTGGTTTCAGAAAATCACAAAGAAACTAAAGCTCCGATCTGTGGTTTAATGGATGAATACACCTAAGGGCGGTCAGGATGGTCAGTACTGCTCAGAGGCTAGCGGGCCAGTGTACGACTGGGGAGACTGAGAACCAGTGCGGTGAAGTTTTCCTGAACCTACAACTACTTCAAATCTTAATACAAGAGGAAGCTAGAGCCACAATTCAGAGAAAAATGCAGGGACAGGCGTCAATAGCCTATGCTTGCTGAAGCCATCCAAAAATGCAGATTTAAAAAAAAATTCAAATTAAATACCAGATATAGAAGACTGAGGGAAAGGAATTCTGATATAAAGATGGCTTTAAGACGGAATATATGACAGTAATTAGGATCTATGAAATTAAACTAAGGGCATAGCAATGTATTTCAGGTGGACCTGGAGCATCTAAACACTGCAAAGGAAATCAAAAGGCACGGTATTGCACTATAAAAATACCATTGGCACTAAAGCGCACTGCGTTTTTGGTTTGGTAAGTTCAGAGCTGTTGAAATCGCATTGTGAAGCGATGGTTAGGAAAGAAATAAAAATCACCCTTGTTTGAGTAGCAGGGCATACTGGACAGAGGGACAACGAGGAGGCCGATAAATTGCCCACGGATTTAATGGGAATGGATCCAAGGAGAAAGAAAGGCGAAAAAGGTTCAAAATTAAAAGTCCATTGCAGAAACAAGAAAATTACTAAAACCTGTTAGGATAAAATTATAGTAGGGGTTCTGACTGGACACTATAGATCCAGTGACATGCCAGGAAGAGGAGGAAACGGGGAAAATGCCCTCTGGCGGGAAGACCTATGCAGGCTCAGATTCCTACTCGTAGAAGAGAAAAACCAAGGCTTGAAAGATACACTCCAAAGCGTTCAGTGTGGCATACACCAAAGGCGATAAGAATTTATCGATTCTTCGTGGATAATATCTAACCATTTTAGCACTGTAAAGCCTACAAGGAATCTTTATGGAATTATGAAGGTTTATCAGTATATAATTTTGCCAACTAATCTCCCTTTTCTATACTTGTGGCGTTTTGTTATAAAGCGTTTTTTAGGATCACACTTGTGTGTTTGTAGAAAAAATCTCTAAAATTGGTTGTGTTCTTTGTTTTGTGTTTTTAAAACGAAATGTGTGTAAATAATTTATTTTACTTACTGGATAATTTGTTATATCGATTTGGATTATATAAATAAAACGGCATTGCATTAACATCTGTATTGAACAATGACTCAACGGAATTTACACTTTCAATATTTTAAAACTTAACAAAAAAATCTGCTATTGTGTTTCTTCTTCACGGACATGTCAATATGAAGTCAGGAATTTGGACGGCAGAGAAGAAGGTGACCTTCAGGAACGGCATCGATTTATTCTCCGAAGCAAGCTTGTATAATGGCTAGCAAGTACATGAAAAGCTCAATTATCGTTACGTAGAGAATTATTACAGCGAGAATAACTTCGTCTGGGCTAATCGACTCTCTTTTCCCTCCGATGATCAGCTGCGTGATGAAAATGAGGTAAAGGGATAAAAATACGACCATAACCCCGGCAAGCAAAAGATGGAGTATAGGAGCGAAAATGAAAATCGACACAATGCTAGCCACAATGCCGAAAACAAGGATAGCCAATCCCACAATGCAGAAAACTGGTCCGCAACCGGTGATGTCGCACGGGGCAAACTTTGCAAAAAGTGTCATCACTATGGTTATCAGCCCAGTTGATAAAAACGCCAGGTAAACGACGAACAACTCATACTGGGCCGCAGCGGTAGCCGCTGTCAAAGCATAGCAGGCTGTCATCACTGCTAGAAGGATACTGTTGCATGGGGCGGTTCTCCTGACGGAATCACAGCAAGCCAGAATCATATACACCACTATTCCCGACACAGCAAAAATGATGCATAACCACGGCCTGTCAAAGATCCACTCCCTTATATTCTCGTCGTACGTGAGACCAAAAATTAGGATGGAACTGAAGATCAACTGCAGTGTAAGTATGCCGTATACCTTGGACACGAAGTTCTTCCTGACACGTTCGTCGGCGAACTTGTCTTCTTTGTAACCAGCTTCATCGGCCGCCGGATCCAGGCTCATGTTTTGACCCATTTTCGCTATGTTTCAACTTCTAGTAATACCAAACTAAAACTTTTAATGTAATAATGATTTTGTTAACATAACTAAATATAAATTATCACTTACATGTGTTCTTTCGTGTAAATAGTTCGACTATAAAACATATGTTATTGTATGCTAACCTTCCAATTGTTTTAAATGTAACTAGAGACAGCTGTTTGCAACAACGATAAAAACTGGTGACTGCAAGGCGATAACTGCGACTACTCCCAATACTAACTATCCGGCATCTTCTTTAATTATTTTAATTTTAAAATCCAAAGTTAGACTTATTTAATTTCGAGCTTTAAATGCTCTTCAAGTGCTCTATGTTAGAAACCACACGAGCTAATGTTTAACCTCAACCTTTACTTCAGAATCTTTCATGTCTTTGTTTGAATTTGTGCCAAAAAATACACCATGATCAGTCGACCTTACATTCAATTGCATCATATATTTCGTCATTCCTCCATGCTATATTGATTAAACATACTCGTAGAAAGCTAGAAGAAACCTTGAGTACGCAACAGGCATATTGTGCCAAGTGGTTAGTAATATTTTTGTTGTTTTCAGATGCGTCCTGACTCATGAGTTGGTGCAAATAGGCTTCCTTTCAATAGGTTTTATTTCGTCTATCACATGTTTATTTTAGCAAGGAGTCAATTATAACTCTATATTAGTGGCAATTCTTATTCTGGGCCTGGCCATTAACCCACTCGTTAGCTTTAATTATACCTAGTTGTTCAGTCTTAGGACCGCCGGGTGGTGATGGTGTCAGACTCGTGTTTGTATATTGCAGCGGTTCTGGGTTCGAATCTCGACATTGACCATGGCTATTTATTCGTTAATAATATAATAATAAAGGATAGTCTATATTCTAGGATCTGCACAATCATGCTGAAGACCATAAATACTAACTTTCCATATCTTTACTGCTCGTACGGTAGTGAAATCTACAAATCTAACTGCTTACGTACGTCCAGGGTGATTGCTGCTTAATACGCCGGGTGAGCCGCGAGGCCGTTAAAAATGTTTTCTTGTTCAATAAGTGTGTGTGTATGTATGTGTATGACCATCTGTCTGTCTGAATTTAATTCAAATTACCACACTGAAGAGTCGCCAATCATGAAGCGCATTGAAACCTATGCTCGGATAAATGATTTTTATTTGTATGTTTAACTGTCCTCTTAATGTATCTAGAAAGGCTTGCCAGACAGAACCATGTAGAAAAGACTGGCCAGGACATTCTGAGTCGATCATGTTACAGGTACATCACCTTTGCGGAATAGCTAGAAATGCGCGAGGGGATGCAAGGCGTTGGTACCAAGTAGAGGACATGCTGGAAAACAATAAAAGTATGTCGGTTGTAAATGTATTTGACTTCGTACTTTACTTACAGAAGTCCTTGAACAGTAATAGGCACGATTATGTAAACGTGGTCTGTAACTTTTTTTTTCCAGGGGGCTTCCAACAGTAAAGTCATTTCAGCCCCCTCGCACTGCACTGTTATGGCCGATTGGGTACTCAATATTCCGCCATCGGACCTACAGTCTAAAAGATCACCCACTTACAACAAATAAATAAATTACTTACAAATAAATACACGACACAATAAAACACAACACAGAAACACTTATTTACACAGATATTCACGTTTTATACACTATTTACAAGTGAGGAAACACCCCCGTTTCTCTTAAAAAGCGGAATAGAGGAACCAACATGTGGACTTGTTTGCCCGAGTACCGTTTTTATGTCGGGGTTCATGCCTACTCGCTCCCTGTAGGGGGCCAAGGCACGGCACTCATCGACAAGATGAGACACACTGAGCAACCTTTCTCTACAAGCGGGACACCTACGCGGGTTTTGACCCAGAAGCAGATGATACCGTCAAACGGGTATGGCCAATCCTCAACCGAGTTAACACGATCCTTTCATTTCGTTTCAGATTCTCATGGGGCCATCGTTCAGTCGTACCCTTAACTCGCAGGAGCTTCTCGGACGACCCGGCCCACTGACGCTGCCAACGCTTTCTCACAGCGTTCTTTACTGCTTGCACAGCGTCACCGGGCCGGATCTCGGTAGCTCGGTCTGGAGGGCGAGACGTACCAGCTTTCGCTGCCTCGTCTGCACGTTCGTTGCCCTCCAGCCCGACGTGTCCGGGTACCCAGACAACTACTACCGTTTTTCCAAGGCGCTCCAGCTCAGCATATCTTTCTAAAAGGAGTACGACATCAATACTCTTGATTATTAGACCGATTTTCATATACATCTATAATCATTTTTTGATAAGAACCAATGTAATATTGGTTACTGTAATCATGAAAATTTTGGGACTAATGGTAAATTTTAGATAGCATTTCAAAAGATCAAGGTGTCCTTACGCCTGATTAGGTTTTTTTAAAGTATAATCACAAGTAGAAATACTGTAAAATAAAACGTTTTCATAAAGACAAACAAACGAGAGTTGTCTTTACTGTTAAGCGGGGCGTCCCTTGCCAGTGGGACGTTAACGAACCGCCCTCCCCCCGCCGGGCCGTCCCTTTGAAGAAACTCTCATCAGTGAGTTTCTTGTCCTATTTCCACTTTACCATCTCGTTTTAGGAATAATCCAGGCAAATCAGATTGGGCGAACCTCTACGGAAGCGGCGGGTCAAAAAAAAAAAAAAATCACAAAAAAAAAGGCGCCAAATTATGCGAATCATCTTGCAAACATCTTGCCCCCCGAACTGAGGCCTAACTCAATTTCGGGCCGTCGGCTGAGGTCCCGGGGGCGTCGTTAATATTAGGTGCGGAAAGGAAAATCAAATCTAACTTCCCTCTTATCAGACCCGAGGCTATCGTTCGGGAGTTAACACCAAAATTCACCCGTGGCCACACAAACGGACTCACTGGTCGTTACAACCTCCATACCACATATAGCTGTTTACCTCCTGAACTTTCTTCTATTAACTATACGCCTTCTAGTCCTAATAGTACAGAAAACCCTCAATAAAATGAGAAGCGTCCATTAAATTAAAATTTCGTCTGCTGAGAATCTAATCATCTTGTAGGTTTGTAGCTTTACTGAAATACGTTGGGTAAAGAATTATTTATTTTTGTATATTTTTTATTTATTTTACTGTTCAACTGACAAAAATTTATGCATTTAACACTCTGTTGGTAGTGATCAACAAAAGAATTGGCAGGAACCTGTCAGACCAGGGGGATAGGGGAGAGGAGCCGGGCATTGCCTGAACACTCAGCGTTTAGGATTGTTGGTTGAGGATCACTCCACTGTCTTTTTCAGTGTCATGGAGGATTATTAGGGTGAGACGTTGTAAAGAGAGGTTGAGCAAGTGGATGGTGTAGAAGGATAGCATGGAGTGGAGTTGTGGAATCGTTTTTGGATCATGTCCTTCTTCAATGGGATGTCTAAGTCTTTCTAGATGGTTTGGTTGGAAGGGAAGTTGAGTTTGCGATGGAGGACTTTTCATTAAAAGAACTGGATTGTTCGTATGCTGGATGGCTTAGCTGAACCAAGCCCCACAGCTCAACACCGAATGGTATGGTATGGTGAAAAACGATACTAGGAAGCGGGGTTTGCACTCCCCAGGCACTGCAGCCTTCTGGCTTTTTGTACCTTAGTTCAGTGCAGTAGACTCAATCCTTCTTCTTAGAAGTGTCAGGGCATTGACTGTCGCTGCTGCAATTTGATTCCCTAAGTTTTTTCCGTACGTTAGGTTAGATCTCCATTGAGCATTCGAAGATGATATGTGAGGCTGTTTCCTCCTCCTCATTACATAATCTGCAAATGGGATCATCGCTGTATATACCCATGTTGTGTAGATGTTTACTCAGATGCCAGTGACCGGTTAGTAGTCCTACCACTCCTCTGAGTTTGGCCCTCTCCAATTGCAGCAGTACTTTTGCCAGTCTTGGTGAGGGTTGCTTCATCATAAGTTTTGTATGTCTAGCACCGCTACAGTTTATCCACTTCTCCTTTTGTTTTGTTTGGATCCATTCTGCGATGGAGGATTCTATATTTGTTTTTGTTATCCCAAGAATAGGTTCGGGGCCTATGTATGGTCTTGCAGATCCTCCTCTGGCCAGTCTGTCTGCTTTTAGGGTTCACCCGCGTAAGTTTCGTGAAGTGGAAAGTCGGATTTGGGTATTAGAGGCTATTAGAGACGCATAGTACCTACCCATTCGTACCCCCTCAACACCGAAAGTCCAAATCGATCTAATTAGTGTCTTGCACATAGTTAGTGTATTGTGTGTACTCATTATACATTTGGGTTCAAGCAGGCGTTTGAGTTGTCTGTATCTTCGGTTCAGTTCTGGTCATTTTTGTTTTAATTGTGTTCAACGTAAGTCTGCTGTCCAAGTCGTACCCAAGGTAGCGGATTTGGTTAGAAGGAGGGATACACATATCTTTCAGTATGTGGGCGCTGTTCGACAGGTACTTATTCTAAATGTGAACGTTGCTTGCCGGCTCTTTTGTTTATTTTGTTTGATACGCCAACATATTCACCTAGATTCTTTGTTTTCTAACCGATCCAATTTATGATTTCCTTTTGTCTCAACTTTTCACTTTATCCTTCTCAGACTCACTGTCCACTCTTCATGGAAAAACATTGATATTTATTTTAAAATTAAATGAGTTTAGTTTTCGATGACACGAAAACAAGAAGATGCCCGGGGAAGAGTCTAAAACGTGCCTATCATCGGTCAGACGAGCTGTTGACTAAGAATTAAGAAAACGATCGGATTTTATGAGGCTAGATCGAGAGCTGACTGAATAAATAAATTAATTTAATTAATTCGAGTGCATGTCCATCTGTATTATAAAAGTTATTTATTGTTCTTCCCCAGACTGTAGCGATGACAGTTTTGGGTGAAAATGTTTAATCTAGTTCGGAAACTTCAGAATTATTAACGTTTAATAGATTGGCGTTTGCTTAATGAAGCACCAATCCATCAATTGCGATGTAATTCACTTGCTGTAATACTTCCCAATAAAGCAGCTAAACTGCTTGGTTTACAATATTTTTCGTTTGCTATTTTCGGGACATATTTTAGCTATGAATTCATTTGTCGTGTTTCTATTCATAATCTATCCGCTAATTTATTTTTGTTATAAATTGTAACATCAATCATCTCAAACTCACTGCCCACCCATGCGACAATTGTCTTGTCCTTTCATTTATTTTAAAGCCAGTATTTCAGACACCTTGTCATCACTATCGAACTGTCATGAGATTTCATTTATTGAAGTAGCTATTGGTGGTTCATTTATTGTGGTTTAACGTTAACAGTTGAGATAAAAAAACCAATGTCATGAGCGGGATTCGAACCCACGACCTTCGGCTTGATACGCCGCTACTCTACCACTTGAGCTATCGTGACTTCTATCCCCTCGGGCACTAACTTTCCATCTCAACCCCACCTTTTGAACTTTCCCTCCTTTTTGCCATTTTTCAAATTTCGTGTAAACTGTTTGATTCTCGGCGGCAAATGAAATGGCCACGGAGAGCTTTAGTGAAGTATACTTCATTTTAACTCATTAAATTCACTAGTTTTCGTGGTCCGCTTGACCAATTAATATAATTCAAGTAATTAAGGCTTTTAGTTGAGATAAAAAGAAAAAAGGTCGTCGGTTCGAATCCCGCTCGTGCACAGACTTTTTTATCTCAACTAAAAACCTTAATTAATTTATGATAGCGTTAACGCAACCGTCAATTGATATGTTACTGGTCTTGTTCTATTTTCCATTAACACTTCCAAACTGCTCGACTTGTATTTTCTCGCTTTTGTTATTTCCTTACAGTTTTTTGGTGCTTTATTAATATAGCTAAGTGTTCACTTGTCGCTGTTTATTTTGCTAATATATCCCTTCGTTATTCCTCTTTGTTCGAATTTATGATATCATCAATTTCCGACTCGCTATCGTCATTGCCAAAGTGCCTTAGGGTTTCATTTATTTAATAGCTGTTGAAGTTACTTTTTATTGCCACTGTTTAATGTAATGTCTTGAGAAGGGTAAGGATTTAAGGTTAACGGACCACAAATCCGTCAAATGGTATGTTGCTACTCTTATAGTATGATATTCCATCAAAATTGCTATACTGCACGTGTTATATTTTCTCGCTTATGGCAAAATGCTTTTTGCCATTTTTCAAATGTCGTGTAATCGGATTGGATTCTCGGCGACAAATGAAAAGGAGGGAAAATTCAAAAGGTGGAGTTGAGATGGGAAGTTAGTACCCGAGAGGATCGAAGTCACGATAGCTCAAATGGTAGAGTAGCGGCGTATCAAACCGAAGGTCGTGGGTTCGAATCCCCTCGTGACACTATTTTTTCATTTCAACCAAAACCTTAAAAAAAAGAAAAAAAAGACTAACATCTTATTTATATTTACTACAGCTTGTTACCCCCTTGATTAGAAAACAAAAGACAGTCATGAGAGAAATCGTCACTCTACATGAAAGGTTGGCAGACACATAACGATTTCTCACTACAGGGATGAACTACGAAGAACTGAAGTTCTCAACTACGATTTCTGCTCAGCGCTTAGGGATTATCAATACCGCATCTCTCGTTGCATTTGTATCCTTTGTATTGAAAAGGTCGACCAATTGGAGTATCGAGATTCCCCTGAATATCTACATCTACATGATGAATATGGAGAAAAAATAAATCAATTTCTACAAATAGAGAGCATGAAGGCACATGACTACCGACTGAAATAAAATTATTTTATCATTAAGCGATAGCCCAAATAATAGAAAAAAATGGTAAAATTGGCTTAATCTGCACTCATACTTCTGCGCGTAATCGGCATTAAAATTAAGGGAAAAAACTTTTTCTTCAAGTCTTTTGCGAAGAATTAATTAAAAGACAACTTAATTAAAAGGTATTCTTAACTTATCTTTCATTCCGCTCATCGGCTTAATTCTGTTTAATCTTTCTTTACCTTTCACAATTCCGCTCCATTTTTCCCCTCGTCCTTTCGAAATCCTTTTGTTCTCTTCCTTTCTCTTTTAATATAATGAAATGAGGGATGCTGAAACACTACAAACTAAATAGGTTTAAAATGCAATAGTGTCGAGGTGTAATTATTTTCAAGATTCAATTAAAAAGAAATACTGACTGGAGAATTTTTAGAAAATTCAACAAACCAATTCAAGATTGTTCAAGATTCAACGAATTAAAATAAATTTAATAAAAAATGTTAATTAATCGCTACCTCTTAAGTCATTGTCTCGTTTTTCGGGTTCAAGGAGAATCAAGTGCTCTCCGCTAAGTCCCTTCCTAACAAGAAGTCCGGCAACGCCGCTTCGCAGCATAACAGGTATATCAAAGTGGCTCTTATTCAGCGTGTTGTACCAGGTGAGGTTTACCTAGTGTTACACCTGTTTGTTTGTGTCCAGTGTTTCGAGAATAATTTGAATATTTTCTAAGGTAAGATATAACTAAGAAAGGGTAAAACCAATCAATCGAATCAATAATATTTGTGCGGAAAGAATAATAACATTGTAATTGTTAAAATGACTTAATTTCCCATAAAATGTTTAAGTACATTAGAGGAAAATACGATATGTTATTTCAGAGATAATCAATCTCGGTTAATTTTTGAAAAATAATTTTTTCTTACGTAAAACGTTAAAAATGCGTATCAACATGAAATAAACAACAACAAACAATTATTTAAAAAAAAAGTTGGTGAAATTACAGGTGGATCACAAGACGATAAACGGTTCAATTTGTGGCCGTAGAGACTTAAGCGACAGTAAAATTTAGTATTGTTTGAAACAATTTTGTCACAAAACAACTAATTCAAAATTTAGTGACCTTGATTGTGTTTGTAAGGCAAAAATCATAAATCATTCATACCTTACATGAAAATCTTGAAATTTTGTTATGAAAGTGGGACTATAAGATCAGAAATCACAAGAAAACAATAAAAGTCGGTAGTACCTCCAGACAATTAATCTTTGATATGGTTGCTGGTAGGCTACCAAAGACTAACAAGACAACAATTTAGATCAGTTAGGAGACAATAAACTACAAACTTTTGTGACACACAAAGTAAACAGTGGAGGAGGAGCAAGGCAATTAAAATAAAGTTAAAGAAAGTACAAAAACCTTTAACATTGGTGACACAGAATATGAACGTTACGTTGGTTGTGGTATCGTATGGTATCATAAGGTAGAAAAGGATACTAGGAAGCGGGGTTTGCACTCCCAGGCACTGCAGCCTTCTGGCTTATTGTACCTTCCTTGTTCCTTAGTTCAGTGCAATAGACTCAATCCTTCTTCTTCGAAGTATCAGGTCATTGACAGTCGCTGCCGCAATTTGATTCCCTAAGTTTTTTCCGTACGTTAGGTTAAACCTCCATCGAGCATTCGAAGATGATATGTGAGGCTGTTTCCTCCTCCTCATTACATAATCTGCAAATGGGATCATCGCTGTATATACCCATGTTGTGTAGATGTTTACTCAGATGCCAGTGACCGGTTAGTAGTCCTACCACTCCTCTGAGTTTGTCCCTCTCCAATTGCAGCAGTGCTTTTGCCAGACTCGGTGAAGGTTGTATCGTCATAAGTTTACTATGTCTAGCTACAGTTTATCCACATTTCCTTGTGTTTTGCTTCGATCCATTCTGGGATAGAGGATTCTATATTTGTTTTTGTTATTCCATGAATAGGTTCGGGGCCTATGCATGTTCTTGCAGATTCTCCTCTGGTCAGGCTGTCTGCTTTCTCGTTACCTAAAATTCCCCTGTGTCCTGGCACATAAGATATCATCAGGTTGTTGTGTTTCCCCAGGTTTTGGAGATTTTGGATGCATTCACTGACTAATTTTGGTTTGATTCTTTACATGCTAATGCTTTAATGGCTGCGTGGCTATCTGATCTTATGACGATTTTTTTGTCAGTGTAACCTCTTTTAAGATTTTCCAGAGTACAAGCATTGATGGCATGCATTTCTGCTTGAAAGACCGAAGTGTACTTCCTGATGAGTTTGATTGTTCATGTTTTGGGCTTGTACAGAAAACGCCTGATCCGGTTCCTTAGTTTGTTTTGGAGCCATCTGTGTACCATATCATTGTATCTGATGCTCTTTTGTGTTCTTCCTCTCCTTTATAGTCCGTTGAGACTTTATAGGAAGTTGTGAAGATTGTTTTTGGGATCATATGATCAGTCCCCATTTCTAATAATGGGTGTATGATTTTGTCGAATATGGTTGTATGTCCGAATTGTTTAGTTCCTTTCCAATTTAATTGCTTCTGTAGCCTAAGTCAACTATTTATAGCCTCCCCTTGTATGAATATTTCCAGTGGAGGTAGGTTTAGCAAAGTTTCTAATACATTTGTAGAAGTTGTTCTCATTGCTCCTGTGATACATAGGTTTGCTAGTCTTTGTAGCTGCCTTCGTTGTGGTAGGCGAAAATTCAAGAAGAATACAAATTTACTATTTCCTGGCAAGCAAGACAAAATTTTTATAAATTCAAACTGTGGAGGAGATACAAATATAATAATAAAATATATAAACGCTAAAATCAGTAAAACATTTCAATTTGCTGGAACAGAAGTCGAAACGTTGTAAAATCTGTAATAGTGGAGGTGTTGTAGGACAATAAATGTACAATTTCCTTGCAACAAATACAAAATTATTAGAAATCGGAGGAGAAAACAAAAGACAATAACGCTAAAACTAAGTTAAACATAATACAACTAGCTTTTAAATTTTATGAGACGTTTCATTATCTGTAGAAATGGAGGCGTCACAAGATAATAAATTTAAAATTTCCCGGCAAAAATAAAAGGTTTTGCAATTTGGTGACAATGGAAACGACTTAAGACAATAAACCCTAAAATTAGGTTAAAGAAAATACGGGAAACTTTTAAACGTTGTAACACAGGACGGTACGTTTTAAAATAGGTGGTTCTGAATCTTTACAAAACAAACAAATATCCAAAATTAATAGGTGTTTTATTGAATTTCTCAAAGCAATTAATTTCTTTATTTCTGGGTATATATTTAAAGCAGTTACGGTTACATGAATTCTGTATAGCAACCGTCAATTTATGATATTATAGCATTAATAAACAATTTGTTGAAATCGTGAGAAGCGACAAGAATGAAGTATTTTACTAAAGTTTTCTAAAATACCTGATTCTTGACCGCTCCTAACGACTTCAACAAATTATTGAACAAACTGCCACTAAAAAACACACATTTCTACCCGAGAGAAACGTGTACTTATAAAGAATGAAAATGTATCTGAAAAAAATTGTCCAGTGGTAAAATTTGTATAATGCTTAAACTAAATTATTATAAAACTTTCAGATTCAGGCGAATGCTTCAGGAGTTAAAAAAAGGTAGAAGGTTGGATCCTTGAATGCATCCAGATAGAAAATCTCCGAGGGGTAAAAGCCACGTCAAGAGCACAATTTTCCGACAAAAGGAATCCCAGCGCAATTTTACCGTTGGAAAAGGAGTACAAATAGAAAGGCATTAGTCTACGTTTACTTTCCCAAAATCGCCCCTAAGCATTTAACCCGGGGGGCGAAGTGTGTTGGCGTTGCAGAAGACACTTAAGGGTTTTCTTAAGACGTCCTATTCGAGAATATCCTTAGGAAAATTGAATCATAGAAGAAGAAAAATTCAGTCGATACCTTTCTATTTAATTATCAGGATCAAGGTTTAATTACATGTAATAAACGATATATCTGATTATTCACGCCGATAAATGTGAGGTATAAAAATTAAAGTTAAATTAATTTTCTAATTAATTGTCAATGCATCGTTACTGAGGGAGAACTGGCAATCTTCCTCGGTCAAATCTAAAGTTTCGTTGAGCACCACCAAAATCAAAAAGAAAATCGCAGTAATCTCTTCAATTTTCAAAAATAAATCGAAACGCATGCGTAAATTCACAAGTTCTTTACATAACTTAGCGAATACATGATCGTAAGTTTGTTTGGTTTATCTATGAGATTTTTTGTCGAAATGTTTAACCAACGGGAGGAAAGTTTAATCACTTCGATTCAATCAGTGAGTTGCTCCAAATATTGATTGTCTCCTAGGAAGCAGTAGTTTCAAAGGTGCAGATTTTGAAATAGAAAGATGCTCATCTTGGTTATTCACTTGCTTGTAATTACATTTTTCTTTCATCACATGGGCGTAAAAACTACTTCTTTTTCGACATTAGTTTTGTTTATAATTTTGACATATCTATACTCCCTCTCTACATATATATGTACTCCCAATTGCTGTGGATTGTTTAGGGTTTTTGTCATTTGGTCCACCATTTTTACCGTTAGTAGTCTGTTGACGCTATATCTGCTACAAATCTGTACATTTGTCTTCTGATCTATTCAATTTTATAATTTATTGCTTCTACTACCACAAGTTTTAAGAGTTGTTTTCTTGTGTTACACCATATTTTAGGGTTTGTATTATGTTTACACAACTGCTACAGCCAGATGTCTTAAGATGGCCACGAAATTTTAGAGTTTGTAGTCCAGTAACGCTTTTACAACCACAGATTTGAGAGTTATTTTTCACCAAATTTTTCGCTTCCACTGCAACAATTTCCATTTTTCTTACTTTCTACCAGTTATTTTTCTATCTTCTGTCACCTGCACTGCTACAAAATTGTACCTGACTCTACAGAGTTGAACAGGTTTTTCTTGCAGTCTACCAATTCCAACTTCTGTTCAGTTCTATCTGTGTTCTACCTAATTTTAGGGCTTAGTTTCTGTTATTGTTTCTACTGCAGCAGATATTACCTGTTATCATTATAACAGTTCAACTGAAGGCAGCAGAAGGAAACTCTTCTTCTCAAGGAAGGATGAGTTGATGTCCACAAAATTATGTCGCAAAGTGTAATTTAGTCTAAGAAGGGGTTTTCAAGGAGTTTACCAAGACACATTTAAAAAGTAAAACAAAAAATTACATAAAATGAGAATTTTTTGAACTTGTAAAACATGCAATTTAAGAAATTATCTTTTCCTTTGAAGGCAATGCATTTTTTAATGAAAGTTTAATGATTAAAATTGCCAACTGGAAAAATAATACATACAATTTTAAATATAATTATTAATGTTTGCCATCAGATGGGGACACCGAGACGTGTATACTTTTCCGCAGACAAGACTCTGGCAGGAGTGCCACAGCTTCTCGACGATCTGCACAGACTACTGGAGGACAAAGAATCAGCGGACATCGTGCTACTAGTCGGCAGAGAGGAAGTGCCGTTCTATGCCCACAAACTCATCCTCATGGCGAGGTAAGTCGATATTATCAGTTACAAAACATTCAAGATAAAATTGGCTATTGTTACTCATCCGCCGTCCGCTTGTTCACACTGTACCACCCATTGTCGCCGTAGATCCACATTAAGTGGGCGGGCTAGGACTCCCATGGTGGATGAGATGAGATGGCTGTTCAAGAGCCCAACGAATCGGCTCCGTCCCGACCAGTCATCTCGAGAGGGGCGAATCCGAGACTGTGGCCTCGTGGCTCACAGGTCGGATTGGGTCTGTTCATTCTCAGGTATCCATTCTCCACATTGGTGCGCTCTGGTGGGCGACCGGAATCCTCAGCACTTCACAGACTCGCCCTCTCGGGTGCCTGCTACTCCCCAAAGGCCGACCATCGCCCGCATTGGAGTTTTCAGGGGAGAGTGGTTCAGGCTCTCCCCAGGATTTCGCAGGCAACCCTTTCGGGTGCCCACTACTACTCCAGAGATCATCCCGCCCCAAATGGTATTTGTTACGTTTGGTCGGGCAACGGCTACGCCAGGGTGCTACGCAGGTGAACCTTTTAAGGTCGTCGCAGATCGAGGGACGTATCCGAGGTTGTGTGATCGCCCGGCCCACACCCCGGATTAAAGCTGTTTATTCTCAGATACCCTTCTCCACATGGGTGAATTCAGGAGGAGAGTGGTCAGCCCTATGGATAACGGGTGTCCACGGAGATTCACAGGCCGTACCACTCCTTCCAGGATGTTTACCCGTCCCAGATGGTATTTGCTACTGCTGGTCGGGCAACGGCCGTGCTCGGGGGCTTCGTAGGCCGACCCTCTCAGGTAGACTCACTCCACCCCCAAAGCCCAGACGCCCCAGTCAATATTTGCTACTTCACTAAATGAACAGTTGCGATCCTCTTTTTGTTCAGCGTCCGAAGGGACCCGAACAGTGGCGCCACGAGTAGGCAAGAGGTCGCGGAAACGGATAGATTATTTGTTGCACTTCACCGTTCCCCATCCACACCCCGTACTTATTCGTACGCGTAGTCTCAGCGTCCTCGCTAAGTCGCTATACGCTTCGGTGGTCTGTTCCTTCGTATCCTGCGAGAACGGAGGTGATAACGAAGGCCATCCGCACAGCGTAGGTCGATGGCCACCCAACAAAATGATCTGCTCCCGATTCCAAAAGTTTCACACCAACCTCTCCAAGCATTCTAACCCTACTGCTCGAGCCCTCTCTACACATCTTGAGAACCCGCCACTTCCACTTAATCAACAATGGCCTTGAATCTTCCAAATCCGCTTAATCACACACTGAGTGGCTGGTGTCTCATTGCATAGGTCTCCGAATGCAGCAATGGCTTTAGTGTTAGTGCAAAAAAAGATCACATTGTAATATGTACTAACATGTGTAGGGTCAAATTAAAAAAAAAAAATATATATATATAACATAACCTCAAGCCCATGTACACATACTTACGACATCCAGCTGGGTCTAATCTCATAATTGTTTTAGAACAGTGAACTAAGGTGCACCCTCGTATGTCCGAAATGAATAATTTCATGGTAGTCTAAAAATGGCTACTAATAATATTAATTAAAAACGGTCCACCAACCCAGGGTCGTTTTGTACACCCAACTAACTCTCTCAAAAAAAAAATAGGATAAATTAAATAAATAACTCTTTATAAATCAAAAACTTAAATACCTTTTCTTTAAATTAAATGACAAAGAAAATAATGAAAGAGACTCCAAAACTTTATAGCAAAAAATTCAAATATGTTTACAGGTTGCTTTATCTCAAATTCTACAAATGGTCGAAGTTATCATTCCGAGTCTATATTACACCTTTTGCCTGTAATTACCCCCCTTTTTTTTTGGTTGCCGCCGGCCTGCGTATCCGGACGCCTCCCTCTGTCAACAGGAAGTGTTTATTCCTGGTGTAATTCGTGTGGATGTTATATTTTATTCTATTTTATTTTCCAGAAAAGCTTTACTTATTAACTGTGTGAATGAGCTACGTTGACATATTTACAGCAAAACGTATTTTTTAAGCTGGCTTCGATGGAAGGCTGAACTGCACAAGGATGACCAAATAAGTCGTAGCTGCTGCAATTATCTTTAAAAAAAATAGTCATTGCGAAAATCAGCCGTCTGTGAATGAAATACTGTACAACTCACGGAAGTGACAAGCGGGTAGCCCAAATTGAAGAATCCACAGGCTGTGAAATTGACCGTCTGCTTCATTGTAACGTAAAGCTGAAGCTTTTCCTGAAATATGGGGCAAACTATTTTGTCTGTGCTTCTTTGCAAAAAAAAAAAAGATAATTGAATATTTACGTTATTTCGTAGCTGTTTATTTCTCCTCATTAATTTGAAAAGTTCAACGTTGAAAGAGTCTGCCTGAAAAAAAAATTATCAGCTCGGATTTTCCCAGTTTTAATTGTTTGTCTTACATAGTTTTGGGTTTTATTACAACACGATGTTAAGCAGAACAATTCGTACATGAAGAAGGTCGAATAGAGGATGTTCAGTGCGCCTTTTTGATCGAACTTTCCACTAGTTATGTCTAGGACGGCGTAGTACATATAAGAGATGACGTTGTTCAGAACAAGAAAGCATATTAAAAACAATTGCCACTCGAATATGTCATTGAGCCTAGAGCATATCGACAGAAGTTCGCTGTGGGTCAACATCAGAAACCTCTTCCTACTAAGACTTTTCGTACACTCTTCTAACGAGTTCGACACGTCCGTTAACCAGACGCAGAACTGCATGAGAATAATGTAAATCAAGAAATCTCGATATAAAAACATAAACCAGGAAACTTGGGTAAGGTAGAAACTGCCAAGATGCGTCGTGTGGCAGTAGACGAACAACCCTAGTATCGAAAAGATGCCGACAAAGGAAAGCACATCCCTGTATTTGTTCTTGGCGCTTCTGTCTGTGTATTTTTTAAAGTGATCGTATGCGTTTTTGTTTACAAGCAACTTGTACACGTGGATCGTTATGCAGCTCGTCTGGCTTAAGACCTGCACCCAGTAGAGTATCTGGTTTATCCTGAAACTGGTCCACTCGTCGTCGGAGAACATGAGAAACACGAAGGCGACCGTGAAGGACGAAAGGATCAATAGCAACGTCATGAAAATGGCCCATATGGAAAGGGTGATGTCGTAAGACATACTCGCGTCGAAGACATATAGCCCTAAAATGTTACCGAGCTTTTCTAAAACGCTGACTTTACTGGATAGCTGTAGAAACATGACTGGTCACTTCCAGCAAATCGATTTTCAAATTATTGAATCGTACTTTTGATAATATCACAAAATCAGAAGACCTAAGTTGTTATTAGCCATATATCACTAAACCAACCTGACAATCAAACTACATCCTTCATCCTGAACCTATTATTAGAACCAATTTCTTTCCTACGACGACTAATATGGGTTTAAAAAAAAGTTAAAGTAAGTAAGAATTTATTATTGACTATTTAAATATTTGTTGATAATAAAAACAATTCAATCTCACCTCTCTACGTGTCTCCTCTGTGGTTTCAAGTAGAGTTTTTTGATCTACCAAAGAATGTTCGACATAATTGACAGATGTCTTCTTGCTTCAAACTTCAATGTTATTGTGTGTACGACTAGGTGGAACATAAAGGAAACTAATGTGAAGAAAATACATAGCGAGTAGAAAAGCATCTGCCAAAAGTATGCTTTATTCAGCTTGAAACACAGCTTTGACAAATACCTGCGCTTTTCTGCCTTGTAGAAGCAGTGGAAGGTTTTTCTTTAAAACAAGATTAAAATATCAGAATTGCATCATAACAAGACAAACAGCAAGTTCGTTAATGCAGATTACAGATTGTTTCAGTTATTTTTTCCATTTACCGATGGATTTCGGGTTCTCGGGGTAAATAAATGAACCAAGCGAGACTGAAATTTGTCTAAAATTCGACACGCTCTCGGGGCTCGAGTCTCAAAATTTCCTTAATTGCCCGGCTTCGTGAAACGTGAGGAAAATGATTTTCGACAAGGATAGGAACTGGGTGTGATTCTTTCACTCGTTGTTATATCTAAAGTCATAGTAGATTTTCCTCCCTAATCAGCGGTGTACGTGGAATACAGGATAAGACCAAAGATATGGTCCTATGGGACTCCAGCCTTAACAGGACAGTGGATAGAGACGAATGTTCTCTACATGACTCGAAAAAGCGGTCAGTCAGGTAAGATCAGAGGATATGGGAGTAAAGGAAAGGAGGGATGCTCTTCAGATTCCACAATAAATCCGGATGCCAGACAGTAGCATTGATGGATTGTGGACTGCAGTTTGCGTAGCCAAACAGGTGATAATGTTTTGTTCTTCTAAGATGGGAAGGATTCTTTTCAGGAGGAGCTTCTGGCTTATCGGGCGAATGGATTGAGGAGTAGTGTTTACGAAAGTATTATAAAAGTACGTAAGGAAGAGCATTGCTTTTTCTGGAAGAAATCTAAGGATTTGAGTTGTTATAAGGCCGTATCCAGGAGCTTTTCTTTCGAGACGGGTTTTGGTAATATGCTGCGCCTCTGAAGGATGAAAAGCTTCTTGGGAAAGGGAAAAGGTACTGGTTGGACTAGTTCTTTTCCTCCTGAATCTGTTGTTCCGGATCTATTAATATTAGGTTGAGGGCGGAATATTTTAGAAAGGTGTTGAGCGAAGAGTGAAACCTTCACTTCGTTTGACTTGACCACTGATATGGTCATTACGAAATGGAAGAGAAGTATTATGATAAGATAAAGGGTAGATCGCGTTCATTAGAAACGAAGAAGAGACTATTTGATTCTATTGTTGCTGTCTCATCCTTGTATTCTGCGGAATTGTGGTCCCTTGGCAATTTTAACGAAATGGATAAATTACAAGTACGGTATTTTAACCAACTTTAGCATTTGCCCAGAAATACACCTAGTCACTATGTCAGGATTGAGCTTGAACTTGAGCCATTACCGTGCAGTTGCTAAAAAGAATTTTAAATGTGTGGATAAAAGTATTGAGCACGAAAA